CGCGAGGTTCGAGCACCCATATTTCCATCGTGCAAATTGCATGACATTGTTTCGTCGACGATCAATGGTCGCTAAGTGGTCGTAGTGCTGGCGCGTGTTGGAATGGCTGACTTGTTGCATTACGGATCATCTATGCCTCGAACACTCGCCTCTTTTCAACGCCTTTTCCCAGGATATCAATCTCTAACTCCTACATAATGACCTTCTTCTACTGGATAGTCATTCTACGCCTCACCGTCTGTGGCGGTATAGATTTCGACAAGATATTGGAGGAATCTGGGGGCTATGATAAGTCCGAGGACCCTATTTTCGGCACGGAGAGCCCAGTGGAGAAGACGAGTGAGCCGGGGTTCGTCTCAACTCCTCAATGGACAACTCCGGTGAGCTCGGAGGAGCCGATCGTGGATCGAGAGTAAGGGGTTACAACGCACTATGGGCTCCGTTTCATCGTTACAAGTGCCTGTCGCTGAGTCATTAGTGCTTTATAGGCCCGTGCCGAACGTCCAGGATCAAGAGGAAGCTCGCAACGACACCAATAGCTTGCCCCAAGATCTCAGAACGATCATTGCACTATTGGTTGTCGTGGTGACCATCCTTTTTCTGCTGATCATCACCGTGGTATGGAGATCCATGACTCAGCACTGGCAGTATGGCAATCTCAAAGGAATGGGGAAAGGGTGCCAGACACAGGATGATGAAGGGTGAGGTCTCTCACTTGCTTATCGATTCATTGGGAATTTCTTTCAGGAGATCTGATGACGCTGGACAGCTGTCCGAGGCCACAGTATGAGCCGCCTCGGAATGTCATGGAGCGCAATCTACTCTGGACAATCTTGACATATCAATGATATGATATTATGACGTGGATGTTAACTGATGGGAGTTGGGTTCTAGTGATGCACGTCGCTGATTCAGCGATCGCAGCGACCCACGGCCAAATCAAACGGAAATATAGAAGCTGTTCAAAAGAGAACACAGAACAGGCTCCTGGGACTTTCGCTCCGGTGAGGTTCACGAGCTAGTTCCCGCTCTGCTAGGCATATGAAGGGATCTCGTTCAGGAGGAGCTGGAGATGAATATAGGGAACAGATTGGCCCTCGGTGTTAGGAGGAGAAAAAGCTAGCATATCTCGAGGTCCCGAAGTGCCATTTGATGTGCTTCTGCAGATTGCACTTGGTCCTACTGGTCGGCGTGGTGGGTCCAATGAAGCGTGCCACTACACCTCATTAGGAATGTGTTTGACCGCCGCGGGAGGGTTTCTTCGTCCGATAGAGCAGCTGCTCGAACTTCGAAGGGTCCGTCAAGGGTAAGATCGCCGTGGGGACAAAAGATGACCAGCGGGATGACGAACAATGGAGGAAAATGAGTGGGTGAACACGGAATGCAAACGGAATACTGGACATCGTTGAGTTGATATAGGGGGTGTCTTCGAAAATATGACTGGCTCGTAAGTGCTCACAAAATTGAGTATTAAGATTTGACCCCGGCCCGATTCGAACGGACAACCTTCTGATCTGGAGTCAGATGCGCTACCGTTGCGCCACAGGGCCTGATGCTGATGAAAGATATGACGTTCTTCTATGCCTAACGCTCGAAATATGGAACATTAACACTTCTAATTTCTCCCATGGAGGTGCGCGGACAAAATAGTTAATGTACTCCATGGATCATTTGTTCCGAGCAATCCGAGCATGACTTCCACCAACTCCTGACAATCCAGCCCGACAATATGTCAGTTTGCCAAGATAATGCATACACCACAATTTCTAACTAGCCATGAACGAGTGAGTTCCATCACAAAGGAGTCCGCTTGTCAACGAGGCCACAAAGAAGATCGAAGAAAGCAATGAACTCGACGAATGTGCATACACTGCTAGGCTGTATGCTAACCGTTATAATGGTAGCACGGTACTACTAGTACCGTTACGGCACCGTTCATCACTGCGCAACTGTCCTTGAACAACTGAGCACAATGGAAAAATGGAGCTCATACAGTAAAAAACTTTACTATATTTATGTTACACTCGGACACATCAAATTCCAAGTCACCAGGTCATAAGGTTCTTCAGGTCAATGACCTGAGGTCATTGTCAGCGCGAGCATGGAGAAGATCGAATCTTCCTCGCGCTGGCAACAAGGCTATGGTAGTCCATTCCGATCCAATCAGTATCTTCGCTCTAGTCGCTACGAAGTAACGCTCTACTTTGTTCACTCCCGTTTTTCCCTATCCTACCTCTCTAGATCTTCAGGAATGATCATCATACAGCCCCCTACAATGTGCGACATGCGACCAGAGAGTCCCAGTTGAGACTGGGTACTACTAAACCTATCATTCGTCCAGTTTTTACCAGAGGTTGGAGTCTTGGTATTGATAACGAGCCCAGTCGCATGTTCGAGAGCGCCAATACAGGCT